TTTTTTTGGTACAGGGTGAGGGGCAGACATATTTTCTTTCTCTAATGAAGGGACAAAAAAACCACTGCTTGAATCTGATATTTTAGATGCTGCTAAAATATTTGTGTCTCAAATGAGTTAAATTAAGTAAATAATGGTCTAAAGCAAAAGTATTGGCAGTGCAAAGGTTTAAAATGAGAGTTTTCATAAACTGACTGCATTTGTGAATTTGCTGTTTAAAGCCTGGTGGGGGGTGGATATGATCTGGATCCAATGGGAGGATTTTACACGTTTTCATTACAAACAGCACATTTTTTTGTACTGAAATCACTCATTGGGGTATTTCTCTTCATGCATTTCCAAATAAAAAAAAAATAAAGAAGTCACATTTTTTTCAAAAACCATCCTTTTAAAGAACAGACATTCAGATGCAAATATAGACATTTCACACACACAAATGCAAATTCCTACACATGAACATACTGTACATGCGTACAAACATTCTGTAAGAACATGCAGGAAAAAGTGTCAACAAAGCAAGAGAAATAAGCTAAAGCTTGACTGTTGATTGAACCAGCCGATGCACTGCAGAGGAGAAAAAAGGTTTCAGTATGGACCTTTAACGCTTTCATATCTGATTGAATACGTTTTTTATTTTAAAAAAAATCTGATATTTATCCAGGAATATGTTTTTTGTGCTGCAGGGAGCTGAATATTTTTAGTGTGATTCCACTGTTAGTGGGCCAAAACTAGACACTGATTTTAATAACGAAATGAGCAGATCAAGCAATGAAAAACGTGAATTTTTACCAGTTCAAGTCCAATAAAGTGTAATATGGACAATAATGGGTGTTTCGTGCGGAAGATCAATTTAAGTGTTGACGATTTCCTCTTTATTTCAGTGGTGTAAAAATAAGCTATTTATTATCTAATCAGATATTTTTCTCTGCAATGCTTTAAGGTCAACAGGTGGATGTTAGTTTCATTATAACTGCACAAACACTGGTAGTTTTATTCATTAATTCTGCAAATTTCTGCTAGCCTTTGTCTGGTTTAACCAACAATTTACAACTCCCTCTTTTTATTGCGTTACCATCAGATCTGCACGTCAGCACGAAGGAGAAACAGAGAATGTCGTCATCAGAGAGCGTTTGATCACTTTATAAAACATTACAAATGGCACTCTGATTGCTTTACTTGCCACAGCCTGCTTCATTTAAAGGAGGAACACTGGCATGCTCCAAGAGCTTAACTCACGTGCTCGTGCATGATGATGGACAGCTCTCTGGTTAGGTCTCTGTAGTTTGCCTTCATCTCGTCGTGGTACTCCTGTTGGTCCTCTTTGATCAGTCGCTCGTTGATTCCCAAGCCGTGGCCACAGGCCTCCACAAAATGCCTGCTTACAGAAACCGTGTTCATGAGAAACTACGTTTTCTGAGAAAACGCAGTATGACTGCTGAGTGCTAAATAACTGTTAAAAATTGTTGAAGAAGCTAAAACTGAGCTGGTAAAGTTAAAACAATCAGAACAAAAAGCTAAAATTAGCAGCTCTGTAGCAAATAACAAACTATTAGAACAGCAGCTAAAAACTAAATGTTAAAACAGTAGCTAAATATAAAACTAGCAGAACAGTAGCTAAAACCAACATTATTATAAAAGTAGCTTAAAGCTATAACCAGCAGAACAGTAGCTAAAACTAAAATTATTAGAACAGTATTAAGCATTAACTAGCAAAACAGTTGCTAAAATTATTAAAACAGAAGCTAAAGGCTATTACCAGTAGAAAATTAAATGAAAGCTGAAATTATTTGAAAAGTAGATAAAAGCTAAAATTGTTTACACAGTAGCTAAAAGCTATAACCAGCAAAAAAGTAATTAAAAGACTAAATTATTAGAAAAATAGCTTACAGCTATAACCAGCAGAACAGTA